TCGGGTTGATTAAAGGGTTTTTTTTTTTTTTTTTTTTTGTTCCGAACTTCCAATTTTGTATTTATTACACAGTTAGAAGGGGAGTGCAATCAAGCTTCGATACTTCGGACGCTCACGCTTTCCGTGCAACATGTACTGCACTGTACCCTACGGTTCTATTCCAGATCTCTGGGTGTTTCCTCACTGTTCCTCTCTTCTTGCACTTCGGAAGCGCTTGGAGAACTTTTGTACGTGGACAAATTGGGCCTTCGACGGGCATTGACTACGTCAAGCCGATAGTTAGTCGATAGTCAGTGAACAGTAACCCAGTGGTGTAAATGGGCTGGAGTCCTCTTTCTCCATCCTCCTTGGGCCGGTTTGTAATAACCCAATCGTCACTAACCATTGTTTCCCAATTCGTTCTTTGTATATTCCTCCGAACGCGCGACTCTTTTGAAATTGGTGGGTTATATAAACAATCGGATCTGGGAGCCGGGGTTTTTACTCTTCTTCCTGTGAGTAAGAGATAGATGTACTACTACTGTACTGTACATACACGATAGGGTAGAGGGAAGGTACAGTACCCGAGGGCTGATGCAGCTTTCACTACTTTCTTGGGTTGAGATCACTGGCTAGCTATACTGGATCAGAGGACGCGAGAGTACGTTGGGTCTATCCTGCATTGGGCCACAGTACTTTTCTCAGCGTTATGCTACCATTCTAAAAACCCCTCTATAATGCTGAGGATTTGCTACTTGGGTGGCTGATAAGCCCATGAATAATCCGGAATCAACCAGACTGATTGCACCATTAACACAGAGTCAAAATTTCGATTAAGTACTATTTGCCCAATGTCCACCCCAGATGCAGTTATCAAAGCTAGCAAAAATGATGTACCAGCTGGAAAAAAAGATGGACAGAAAACAAAACCAAATGGAGTCAGCGGTGGGGTCTCCCCAGGAAAACGAATCCTGCCAGTCGAAAAACCGAATGAACTTTTTTTACCCCACACACACGAACCCCGCCAGTCTAGATATGCAAACAACAAATGATCAAGCGGTCTATTCAAAGCACATGAGCAAGAAAAAAGAAAGACAAAAACAATCGAAGGGCTGAGGTATCAATTTTGAAGGGCCAAATCGAGGATCAAAATAGATATTAGAAGTAATATAAAGAGAAAAAAAGAACAGGAATAACTCCTTGAAATGAGACCCAGAAGAAAGGGTATAATGATTAAAAATGTGAGTCAGGTGTGGAGAAATGACGAAGGCGAATCGCAGCGCAAGACGAATTAGGGCGGTTGGTGGAAGAACTCGCTCAAGGTAGGCTATCTCTCACTTTTTGAGACGACCCGGTCGCGCCAGATATCTGTCGTCGTTGCGGAAAAGACATGCGTACATCGTGACGAGAGAATGATAGGAGGGGTCGAGAATCACTCTACTCGAATTGGTCGTACACTGGGATGGGCTTCTCGCCCAAGGCACACATGCGGAAGATGTGGCGGAGCTTAGCACCGTTGTCGTCATCGAGGTAGTCAACAATCGCAGAGTCTGATAAGGAAAAGGATCAGTATGCATTGTTAGGCTTCAATCAGGAGAGAACGTACGAGTGGTGCTGCGGTTGTCGAAGAGGACAATTGTCCTGGGTTGCCATCGGACTCGGGCCTGAAAGTCGTGTCCGGTGATGATATGTTGCATGAGGAAGTCGAGCAACCACTTCTGCTCAGGCTCCTTTAGGCCCTGAATCTTCGTGATGAACTCCCCATTGACGAAAAGGCATTTCTCGCCTGTTACCGGGTGAACGCGCACCAGCGGGTGAACGGTGTCGACAGCGTCCTTGCGCACCAAACTACCAGTCATGCGAGCGTGGCTGATCATCTTGGCGGAGGAGTGGACTGCCCGCAGCGTATCCAGCCATGAGGTGAAAGTGGGAGAAAGGCGCCTGTGCCATTTCGTGGTTAGCATCTCTCCGTCGCCTTGCAATCCATGCGTGGCAGCGGGGCCATCACTTACTTGTACGCCATATCAGTAGCCGAGAAGACGGTGTCGCCGCCCACTTCGGGACCTTCCAGCAGTCCTAGCATGACATAGCTGGGGGGTTGGATCTCGTAGCTCACATCTTGATGCCAGAGTGTGGTGGTTGTACGCTGCTCTAAGAAGCGTGTGATTTCCTCACGGTTTCCATCACGATGAATAATGTGAAATCCGGGATGGCCGCGCATGGAGCCAGAGACAGGCTGGTAGTTAGGCTTGCCAAAGTGTCGCATAAATGCCTCCTGTTCCTCCGGCCCAGCATCGATCAGATCCTGATCGGGGAAAGCAACCACCTTGCGCTCTGCAATCAGCAGCGCCAATTCATCCTTGGCCGCATCCGAGAGCTGGCTCAACTGGACTCCCTCCAAGATGCTTCCGATGCGCGGCTGAATCTCAGTCACTTTCGTGTTCGGAGTCAGAAGGTTGGGCTTGCTCTTGTCCTTCACGCGCAGGGCAGGATCCTGGTACTCAAATGGAGGAAGTGGATCAAACCACACCTTGTCCCATGTGGGAAGGTACTCAGGGTATCTGGTGCGGAGATGCACATCTTTGGTGACGTCGACGTAAGGAATGTTGATGTCGTAGCTGATGGGCTCTTCTTCCTGATGGGCATTCATGGCCTTCTTGGGCCGCAGGATTGGGGCTGTGGATGGCATCGTGCTGTCTTGGTGATCTTATCCCAGATGTTCTTTGCGCGTAGAGGATGAATGCTTGTAGAATAGCTTGAAGCTGGAAGACTTAATCAGTGTATCGTGTCTGAGGTGAAGAAGACTGAGTAAAAGGTGAAAGAAAAGATGGAACTGAGGATTGGATCATGGACGAGAAAAAAGAAGGGCTGATCGAGGGTGGACAAGCAGCAATATATAGATGTCAAGCTGGACATCCACTCCACCATCTCGCCATGACGAAAGAAAAGACTGCGCAACCTTTAAGCGCAATCGAGTGGATAATATGATCGCGGTGGCGCTAAATGATCTTGCATCTGCCGGGAGTCGCTTGGCTATTGCCCAGAAAGGTAGACTGAATGCTATCCCTTCCATCTTCGGGGCGGAAAGTCGGCGCTGAGAGACACACCAGATTGTCCACGGCGGACAGAGGAAATAGAGCCACCCTCAAAAAGGCCATGACGACAGGGGTACAGAAATCAATGCTAAACGGGTCTCTACAGGTAAAAACGGCAGCCGATTATAGACTAGGGGGTGAAGGGGGAAGGCATGGAGGGGGGCGGCGGCACGATTGCGAGCCAGTCAGAGAGACGGATGAGTCCGAAACGATCCAAAAGGGTGAGAGAGAGGAGGTCGCAGTAGTGGGAATAGTGGGAATAGTGGGCAAAATGCATACAAAGACAGAGCAGACAGATGGACAGGTCGAGGAAGTTCGAGTCGGGACAACAGGCTGGAGCCCGCTCGGAAGCGCGACCGAGAATAGAGGCAAGCGGAGACGCAAGAGGTTGCTGGTAAGGAGAAGCGGTCAAGGGCCCAATAGAGGCAAAGCAAGTGGACTCATAGTCTCAATTTCCCCAGCAAGCATCCGTCCTGCCCGCATCGGATGAGGACTGAGATTATCTCGGACATCGATGATCGACCGCTTCTGACGGGCTTTCAGTCTTTCAGTCTTTCAGTCTTTTGACCTGTTTTTTTTCCGGCTGGATCCGAGAGAATGGCTCCCACTACCCGTAGATAGTTTAGACTATCCCAAACCCTTCTTTCAATTGACCCCGGTCTCTGTCTTCGATGGTTTCACCGCTCTCTCTCAGTCCGGCCAGTCTAGATGATCGATAAGAAGTCAAAAAAGACGGAAAAAAATTCGTTCAATAATCTGTACGAAGACATGAGAGTGGAACCCTGCAGCAGGCACGTTGGGTCAATATCGCTAACTTTGGTGGTGGTGGTGGTGTCGTCTGCTTCTCGTAGGGTCACGGAACGGCACTAGAGCCCGCGGAATCTATCCTGTGCAGTAGGTGGATGCGCGATGCGCCGCCGCCGTAGCTTCTGGTAGCTCTGGCTATCGTGCTTTCCTCAATCCTTGCATACCTGAGCAGCAGCCTGTTAATCTTCCGGCTTCCAGGCCTGCGGATGTTTTGTCCTACGAGACTTTAGGGGCGCACTGCATCGAAGTCATTTCTTTCCCTCAATAATCCTGGAATTCTGCAGCGTCAAGGCTCTTCGTTGGTTGGTGGATGTAATAATCTGTCTTATCCATAGGTCACCGACATGATAGCCCGTACGACGTTGAGCTTGAAATTGAGACTTGCGTGCTTGCAATCTAAGCTCCCTGTCGTGTGGCACTTGTTCGAGGGCGTTTCTGACTGATCCCGAGCCTTGATTGAGTCAATGAATACAAGCTGACGTTACTGGTTCTGATATAGTCGGTATCAATCTCATACGAACGGAGACGATCAACGGTATATCGTTATATCATTGCTAAGGTGTTCAACTTCGATGACCGTACATACGTCGTTTGAAGAAGATCAGTCTGGAGACGTTCTAGCTCCCAAATGCCATCCAGACGCGGTGTAAACGCTTGTGGTACATGGATTCTTGATCTTCGCCGATTGCCATACTTGCATCCAAATCATACCGGTAGTCATTGTAAAATTTAGGGTACCAAACAAATTGGATCAAGGCGCAACGGTGGGCCAGGTCGATCCGCTTTTGCTAGCCCCCCCTGTGACGCTTGTTTCCATCCGGGAATGCGGACCAATGCCCGGGGTTCCATCAAAGTTGTCTCCACTCAGCCACGTTAAGGTGTCTACTCATCGGTGACGATGGATCGCCGAAGGCCGCTCTCTAGAACATTTCCCAGACGGTATCGAAGGCCCACAGAAGCCTCGAAGAAAGGGCGGAGGGGCATCGGCCTGATTATGTGCGATCATGCCCACCGACGCGGTTCAGTTTGCATAGTGTCCACTTTGAGCCACCGTCAATCCAGAAATTCCAGAGCCTGGAGGCGTCGAATTGCCATCGTGACCGAAGCCATCGGAAACAGCTGTGCATGCGGCATGCTGTCTCAATTCTCTGTCAATTTAGTTGCATTGAACTCTTCTACTTCCTGCATCGGTTAGTCCACGCTCGAGGCATGACCAAGTAGGTTTCCGGGACATGATCCGTGGCCGTCTGCTTCAGATCGCGTCGCGGTTTGCTCTTCACGATTTTCCTCTTACGCAATGGACAACGACAATTGCAGCTGCTCCAGGAAAATCCTGAGGGTAATCCTAAATCTGATGGCAGTGGATACTGAGTAGTAGATATTGAATACTTGCGACAAATAGTGCTGTGCTCCTAATCCTGATCTGCATGCTGGACCGTCCTGTGACCACGGACGGTCAAATCCTCGCCCCGGGTTTCTAGTTTAAGGGTTATACTAGCTTGCAGGGTGGAATACAAGGGATCCATGACCAGCAGCGGTACCGTCCCGGGAACCGGGGACTAGCAGGCCAATAATCCCCACGGAGCACTGGAACTGCAACAATGAACTGCTGACGGCTGGTGGCACAAAGTGTGGCGCTTTGCGCCAATCTTCCCGTCGTCCGTTGCCAATGAGTTCATGGGGCCTAGGAAAAAAATCGAGCCTGTCTCATATTCTGGAAGCATGACCCGCTCCATCGAGGATTGATATCAAAGTCGATTTCCTGGATCGAGTTACCGGGGCTGCAGAGATTGTACACAAATTCTGTTATTCAGAGGCATAGCAGATCCGGGTTCCTCTGGCGGGTACCGACTGTCTATCCTTGCAGTACTTTTGTCGCCTCACCATAGGGAGTGAGGCCGCTTTCCGGTCCAAGAATAGCCCAGAGGGGCAGAAGATCGGCTCAGAGGGGGCTGTTGCCACAGATCGAAAGTCCCATTGGGACTTTTGCATCATCAGGCTATACTGGTAAGAGGGGGGAATGTGGGCGTAAAGGACGAGTTTCAAGGGGGGACATCACAAGTTGCGGTGAGGACACACACAAACACACGTCCAGTTATCGGGCCGCCCAAGAATGAGAGATCACTTTCAGGATAGGTAGACGGGTTCATCCCCTGATGATGGGACCATTCATCGTGGACGGATCATGAGGTGTATCATAAGGCGATAAGATTCCTAGACAGGATGGGATTTGCTGCAAGGTCGATTGATGGAGAGCCGAATCGAACTAGTCCATCATCGGTGTCCACAAACTGTTGGGCCATCGTTCTTCCAACCATTTGCTGGGGCGACACACTAAGTGAAATTAAGTAGAGCCCTGAGGGTCCAAGCAGACAGCTTGATTGACAGGCTATCGTAGTCTCACGCAAGCTAAGCTTAAGCTATGTTTAGGCAGGTACTCTGTAGGTGAAAGGGAATCCGAGGTGCGTGCAGAGAGGTGTGAAAAAGCAAACATCCTTCTTGATCGTGCGTACCTGTCGACTGTCTGTCTTTCCCAGTCGATCGGGTCAGGCGAACGGCGGGGGGGGCTTTTTTTTTTTTTTTTTTGCCCCCTCTCTCTTTATCTTTCACCCCCTTGGACTTTCTCAAAAGAGAATAAGAAAGGTGCTTTTGCTGTGGGGACTTTCTGGAGAAACTGGTCGAGTAGTTCTCGAAGTCAAAAGAACTCGAGTCAGGTGAGAGGTACATTTTGGTTTGTTTGCTTTTCCCGTTTTGGCAGCTGTACAGGGGGGCGGGGATCACCTGACTAAGGACGGTGCAGCACACATCAATTTTCCAAAAGCAAACTTGAATCGTGTGTATGTGTTAGACATACCTCACTATTATTTGCTTTCGCCTTGTTTATTATCGATTTTCCCACCTCCAAAAGTTCTCGAGCAATCACACAGGGCCGTGAAAGTATTCGCAGCTCGCAAACTAGAACCATGGCTATTGCCACTTCTCCCGTATCCTTGTGGAGCCGGAAACGCGATCTCGTCTACTTCGCATTCTTCGCCATCCATGTCCCCATCATCTTCTGTGAGTCAATCAGAGTCGGTCGGGAGTTGTCCCCCAAAATACCGAGAACACCCTTCTTTGCCCCCTCCAATCCCTACCCTGGTGCAATGCAGAAAGACTGTTATTCTGTACTACTCTGCTGCTTCCCATCCCCACCCACCGCCCCCCCCAGCACAGATCAGATGTATATGAGACATAGAGAGCAAGAGCGGGAGAGAAGGGCAACAACAAACTGACATGATGCACACGCAAACAAACACGATCAGTGGTCGATGCCGCTCCTATCCTGCCGTCTTTCCTCCAGTCAGATTTCAGCGTGACACTCCGCGAGTTCTACATCGAAACCTATCATGACAAGTTCTTCGAGGAGACCCCAACCACTTGGTTTACCTTCTTTCTGTTGATGGAGCTATTCTACCATGTTCCGCTCAGTGTCTGGGCTCTACGCGGCCTGAAGAAAGGTATGTTCACACAGTGTACTCCATAAAATCCAGGCCATCGGGTTGCAGTGGGTGGATCATTTCCCTTTCTTTCTTCTGGGGAGGTCCATGATCTACGCCTACGCCTCCACTCTCTTTCCTCCCTCCCGGGAAATCCCCCCTCTCCCTTAACGTCCCCTTACATCACAGCCCTGTCCTCCCTCCGTATTTCTTTTTCTTTTTCTTTTTCTTTTTTTGGGGGAGAATTTTCTCCCACTGGGTGCTTGCTTACCATGACAGATGATCCTCTTGTTCCCGTCCATTTGCTCGTTTTCGGAGTGCAATCGTTTCTCACCTCTGCCATCTGTCTAGTGGAGGTCTGGAGCTGGACGGACCGTACGCTCGACCAGAAGCAGAATATTACCATGCTCTATGGTCCTTATGTTGCTCTCGGTAAGGCTGATCTAAATTTAGGGCTTGGTTACAGTGCCAGTCGGCAGAGGCTGACTTATGGTGTCTCTAGGCGCATTCATGGCAGTCGACATGTTTTGTAGACTTCGCGAGCGACTTGTGCTCAAGCCCAAGTTGGAGTAGACGGCTAAGTACCTCGGAGTTTAGTTTGGTTACTTTCGTTGGATCTGCGACGGCTTCAAGCCTCAGGTAGCGGAAAGGTTGGGAGACGGGGGGTGGCCAGGAAATGAGAAGCAAATCTTGGTCACCACGTACGCACATAGATCACTAGAGTTGGTCGGATAGAGACGCGCAAAAGTACTGACTTGCCTTACCATAGCTCCCGGCTGTTAGATTGTGGCATATATGCTCGCTGCTGTACAGATTTTGGATGCTTCCCGACACCGACTCTATGTGACAACATTGCATAATAAGGATGAGAGACAGGGCGCCTGCAGTGTCGTTTGGCCAAGAAAATCGAATGTTGCAATCGCGAGAAAGCACTCCCCTACAGATAGAAAATGGTGACTGGTGTCTAGCCCATCTCGTAGCGACCTCCATCGTAACAAGAGCTGAGAGTCACAGGGACAAAATGCGAGCAACATCAGGAGATCATTTGTCACTATGACAGAAAAAAAAATCGCATCTCACAGTGCACATTCGGCTTAGCGATGATAGATCAAATTGAGCGGTAATGAAGAGAATGGCCAGGCCTCGCCCGGTTATGTCAAGGAAATCTACGTTAGGTCGTGACATCACACATTAAATCAGGAATCCAATGGCCTCGTCCAGGTTCCCGTTGGCGGCATCTAATGCACGCATCGCCTCTTCCCGTGTGAAGCCCAGCTCTGTGATTTTCCCAATGGAAACTTGTGGCCAGCGCGATGTTGGTGGGGCTGGGCGGGTAGAAGGAGGCGCGGAAGAACCACCAGATCCTTGACTGCTGCCACCGGCCTGATGCGTGACCGCTCCGGTTCGGGCGCCGACTTCGGCGCCATCGGGTCCTTTGATGACGGGCTCGTCCTCGAATTCATCCAGAAGGTGTCTGGGAATATCCGCCTCACCAAGGAAGGGAACTGCCTGGTCCTGGATCACCAGAGCACCCCGCTGGAGATCAATGCAGGCTTGATGCCGTTTCAGCATGTCCAAGCCCAAGAGCAAATCAATATGCTTCCCTTCCATGACAGTAAATGAGCACGGCAGAAACATGCTGCCAATCTTTATTTGTGCCGAGTGCACCCGACCAAGAATGGTTGCTGTTCCCACGCCCTTTGCAATGCCGCCGTACCGCCGATCAACGAGTCTCATAATGTTGCACGCGGTCGCACATTCTGGCGACATGATGGTGACCTGTGCACCGGAGTCGACAAAAGCGTTGAGTTTGTGGCCGTTGACCTCGACAGGGATATATAGCATGGTTACGCGACCGAATGCTGTGCTGTATGTTTAATAACTAGCTCCGCAAATTATGAAGACTTGCAGGTCCGACTTACACTCCGGATGATGCTCCATTGCATTATGGAGGTTTTCCGTCACAGCATTCTGGCGAATGATCTCTTCGATTTGCTTTTGATTTTCGGGGTTGAAAGGATCGGCATTCAACATGGCAATCCGCGCTTCCTTCTCCGCCTCCATTTGAGCTTCACGGGTTTGTTGTCGGGTGAGGACCTCGCGGAACCGCTGCGCATCATTGGCAGCATCCGCCAACTCCGGGTTCTGCCTTCGGACGGCTTCCCGCACACGAGGGTCACCCAAAATATGTAGGCGAATTGTCTCGGGATCTGGGGTCATAGCCTGACGTCGCTGCAAATTCTGTTGGGCGGCAGCAGAGCTGGGTCCTCCTATGCTCCGGGTGGGAGCGGGGGGTGCTCGCAGCGTCACATGGACACCGAGCATATCCCCTTCACCGATGCCGACTTGCTCAAGCGTGCGGGAGTCATCACCGAGCAGTTGATTGTTATAGACGAGTCGCTGGGCGTTGGGTGGTATCGAGGTTTCACTTTCAACAATAGCTTTCAGAAGCTCGACGGTCATATCCGCGCCGACTTCGAGGGAGATGATATCGGCATCGGCCTGATCCGGGCGAATAACGCTTACCGTGATGCGCCTAAAGATAGTTGGGTTCATCGTTAGCTTAAACATAATTTCCTGAAAGCGGTTTCTCCGAGCGTATGCCCGTTCGCGACGTACATGATGCTGTGCAGCGGTAGGTGCGGGGAAGCTCTCCCAAAGCCGGGAAGAGTAAGCTGTATTGAGGAAAGAAGAACGTGGGATTGAGGCCGTTTCAAAAGGACAGCAAATGTGTACTTTTAAAAAGCTGAGAATCAAGGGAGCTGTTTGTCTGTCCCAAGTGTGGTTGATTTCTAATGGAAGTGCGTAGAGACCCAGGGAAAGGTAATCGGGGGGACGAGCACGCGAGGAAGGTGGTGTTGTAGAGAAGAGGAGTAAGACGCGGGCGGGAGGATAAGACCGAAGAGGAAAGGGAGGATAAGGTCGGTAAGATGCAGAGGTCTTTAACGGCGCTCAGGTGAGGTAAAACCTAGGGGAATAAGAATGAATAAAAGATATGGATATTTAAGAAATAATAGCAGGAAGTACTGTACTGTGTAGGTGCAGTGAGTGAGTGATAAGGAAGGCGAGATGGGCAGGTTACGGTTCCTGGTGAAGTGCAGAATCAATGGAGGTCCGGCATCCGGCCTGATTCGGCAGGCAGCAAGTCATGCGTCATCCGCCCACTCCGGGCCTGCGACCGTAGGTTCAAGGTTCCAAACATGCAATCTCAAAACAACTCTAACCCATTCTACATCAGGCTATTGAATGCTGACTCTTGAGCTCTTCTTTACCCTTTCAATGGAGCATGTACCTCACGTCCATTCCATCTCAAACAAACAAGTGCCAATGAAGGAGACAATTATAGCCATGTTCGCTATCGTTCTAGACCATTCTAGACCAAGAATGATCACCACCAACCAAAGAAGTATATATCTAACCTTACCTGACATGTTTGTCATCGTGTAGCTGCTGACCACCGCTGACTATAGCTCATCTTCTTCGTACTAGTACCTAGTCACTAAGATGGCGAAGTTAGAGTCAGGTCACATGAACGAACCCTCCTGTCATCAGTCTTGGCCGACAGCCTGATCCCTCCACGGAGCCTTTGGGTTTTCCATCAATCATGAGCCCAAGATGAACTAGCGGCCGTTAGCGATCAATGCCTATGGCATTTGCGCTAATCAAACCATACATCTCTGAATTTTCAAATCGGATCCTTCTCTCCTCTCTCGAAGGCTACCAATGCAATCGCTGCTCGGAAATATGTCCTTGAACAGCCATGAAACATTTCATTGCACTACTATTTGGGGTAGGCCTATCGCTGTGTTTATACCTCCTCAACCTCGAACGTGCTTGCGGTCTTTCTATCGCATCTCAGTTACTGGATTGACACGATCCGACTATATAAATATCCAAAGAACCATTACGGGCCGCTTCAATTCACAAGGTGCTGCTCTGAAAGAAGAGATTATCATAGGCCACGTGGCTAGTGTCGCTGCACAGGAGACTGCCAACGATCAAGCATAATGAACTGAAGATGAGATGTGTGAGTTAGTACTGAACGGATACCACCTTGCAGTTTCTACACTGTTTGCCTCTTTAGTGATGCTGCAGGCTAGTTTGTGCTCAGGACTCCAGTCAAGTAACTGTTTTAGCCTCTGGATTTTGTGGTCTAAACGCAACGCTGGCAAGCGCGGATGTTGCTACTTTACTTCCTACCCTACGGTTCGAGGCCTACCCCGCTATGCGGGGGCAGAACATGCTGAAAATGCAGCTATGCTTCAATGTTCCATCCGTGGCTCGAAAAACAGGCATAAGTACAGATGTATGTCAATTGAAGTGAATACTGCGTGACATTGCGAACCAAGCAATACTTATTCCAAACGCTTTGCCACTGATACATCTGGCACTCCCTCACCTTCCACAATCTTTGCACCAACAACTTCGTCTACTGGAATCTCAGCCAAACGAGAAATGATGTGATGCAATGTGGGTAGTTGTGTCCAGCTGAGACCATCGATCTCAAACCTTGCGTTCTTGGTGATTCGCAGCCGGGTGATCTTGGAGGGAACCACCTTAGCCTCCTCCGCATGTGGCACAATGACAGGGTACTCTGCCTCAGGCACTCCTTTGTTCTCATGGCCGACCTTAGGGAAGTAGCGGTGCACCAAGATCCCCACGCTGGACGGATTAGGATTCGTGTTCATCTCTGGTTCCTGATCCTCGAGATCTTCCAAATGGAAATGACCCCAAACGGCGCCTTGCCAACTGGTTGTCAAATGGTGCGAGTTGCTGCGGTCGTAGGCATCAATTGCTGTATAGAGCTTGGGCATGCCAAGCTCCTCACGACCGCTGACGATAGGATCAGTCAGACTCTCAAACAGAATCGGCAAATAGGTGCCCTCAACCGTTTCACCATTCTTCTTCTTGTACTGCACTCCCTCGATGTACAGGCCGATGTGGCGGTAACCGCCTCCACCCAGCCAGTCCATGCGGTGGAGTTTCGTCTGGGAGAAGCTTGCGTAGGCTACTGTACCCTGGTTCACAAATGACCAAGAGTCATTGGGAAGGAGGTTCTGGAGGCAGGTTCGACTGGTTTTGAATCGGATGGAGACTGTCTCAAAAGTGGCTTTGAGCGATTTCTGGACACGATCTCGACCGTACCAGTCCTGTCTGGGACCAGGCATAGGCCCGAACACTATTGGCTGACGCCAGTACTTGGGCGCCCCTTGACTCCAGAGATGCTTTCGGAGGAGGTTGGTCGAATGATCATATTCGTCATGCCCGTAAATATAGTCTTCCATTCTACGGACTAAGTGAGGTCAGTAACCTTGGACGACGGAATATAGAAAAGGGGGAAGCTGACTTTCGTCGACGGGCTGGGGGCCATCAGAGTCTCGAGTCATCTGTTGAATCGTGGTAGCTCGTGTGTATCGAGCTTCCTCGTACAGCTTCAACCTTTCTGGGACTTCTGCTGGGTCGAGGTCCTTCGAGAGCATCACACCAAGAGACACGCCGTCTTCAATGGCCATAGCACCGCCAGAAGCGCGGTATGGCAAGAACGGATGAACGGCGTCTCCCAGCACTGCCAGGCGACCATTGACCCACGTGGGCGGCTTTTGCATGTCGAAAAGGGGCCATACTTTAAGTGTCTGGGGATCAGCCTTGGACAAGATCTTGACCACCTCTGGCTTGAAGTCTTTGTAAACTTCCAAAAGAGCATCCTTGCTGGCCTCCTGATCCCAGTCTGCGCCGGTGTTCACCTTACCCAGTGTGTCAGGGTGGATGCAGACGAAATTCAGGATCTCATTGTTGGCACATGGATAGATGACCACACGCTTGTCATGTGAATCCCACATGCTACAGATGCTGGGGACGTCGGCTAGGGATTTTGTCTCGGGGTCTTCCTGGGCGACCTTGCGCGACAAGAGAAAGCGGAAGGCGTTCTTGCCAGAGCTGAAGGGCTCTATCTCTTTGGTGCCTGGCAGCTTCGTTCTCGCAAGTGAGTGTACACCATCTGCCCCAATCACGACATCGCCATGGAAGACTTGGCCGTTTTCGAGAGTAATTGTGGCAGTTTCTGGATCAATGTCGACAACTTTGCTGGCAGTATGCAGCTCGGCAGGAATGCCAGGACCAGATCCCTGAGCGACATTCTTCAAGCCTTCATGGAGATGGGCCCGATGCACAAGAGACCATTTCTATAGATGTTAGACTGTAACGAACATGGGAGCAATGGGTTTCCTTACAGTTCGCCACCTATCTGCCCGTGCTTTGTGATCGACAATTGCCAGCGTCTTGCCGGCGGGATTATAGATGTGCAGCTTGGTAAAGGTAAGCTTCCAGTTACGAAGTAAAAATATCCCACGGGACAAACCTGGTCTACTTCCACGGCTCCAAACTTGGCTGCATCAATTCCCAGGCCTAGCAGCGCAGAATTAGCGTTAGGTGTGAGATGAATAGCAGCTCCAATCTCGTTTGCAAATCGAGAGCGCTCGAAAAGCTGCATGGAAGCGATTAGCTTGAGTCTGATATGAGGGTAAATTTACACACCTGAACGCGATGGCCCTGCTTGCGTAGTGCAATAGCAGCAGCCAAGCCACCGATACCAGCACCAGCAATAAGAATGTTCAGGCCTCCTTGCGAGGCGGATGTGGGATCGATGCTGCCCATGATGCCCGTTTTGCGTTGAGATGTGCTGCGCTTGTGAATGGAGTTGTCAAAAGCGGGGGATATAGATCGTCCGCCTGACAACCCTGCTCCCTCTATTATATGTCCGCAACTGACATGCTGAGAACATTGCTGGTCACTCCCTTGCGTGGAGAGTGGCATTCATACCTTACTTGGACAATTGCCCACCTTTCGGGTTGGTTTAACTTACCCCTCCGAGCAGGTTCGGCTCACCATTTCGGCCCCACGTTCGGAGTGTGCATGAGCAAGAGCTCAGAGAACAGACCGCGACCTACCATTAGCTACCTGTGGACTGGAGTCTCTGAGTATTTATCCCTCATAACATCAAGCTCACTAGCTATCACCTTCTCTGTTTTATCACGAAACAATTGCTGCATCACAAGGCCTTTGCAACGTGAAGACAACATGCCGAACCCTATCCGTGAAGACCTCACCACGGTGGACGATACCTCTTTCCCCTACGTCTTCGAGCAGAATGTCACAATTTCCCTGAAAGATCAATCTGGTCTTGTGCGCTGCAATGTTTATCGCCCCAAAGAGTTGGAGAAGGCGCCTGTGCTCGTGACCTACGGCCCCTACGGAAAAGATATTCCCTATGCAGACTTCCACCCCCAATCGTTCAGTGAAGTCAATCCGGAACATCGCTCGGAGCACTCAGCATGGGAGACACCGGATCCCCTTTTCTGGACCAAACATGGATACGCGGTGGTTCGAGCGGACGAGCGCGGAACCGGCCAGTCGCGTGGCAAGCTGGACACCATGTCTCGCGAGACCAGCGAGGCATTCTTCGATGTGGTGGAGTGGGCGGCCGAGCAACCATGGTCTACGGGAAAAGTCGGCTTGCTGGGTATTAGCTACTATGCTGGAAGTCAATGGCGCGTCAGCGCCCGCCAGCCCAAGGGCTTGAGTTGCATTATTCCCTGGGAGGGTATGTCCGACTACTACCGCGACCGTTGTCGCCATGGCGGAATCCTTTCCAACAAGTTCATCAAGTTCTGGTGGGATCGCCAGGTTGTATCGAATCAATACGGACGCCCGGGTCGAGCAGCACGCAATTGGGGCCCCGATACCATCGAAGGTGATCTCCCCGAGGAGGAACTGGAGGCCAACCGCCAAGACCAGACGATCGACAATGTCAACAACCATTTCCGGGATGATGTATACTATGCTAGCAAGGAGTATACCATGACCGATATTCAGGTTTGTGTGAGCCGACTGCAGAATCTGGAATCCAGCTGACAGTCTGTGCATAGGTGCCTCTTCTCTCGGTCGCTAATTGGGGTGGTATTCTCCTGCACCTTCGCGGCAATGTCGAGGGGTACACTCAAGCCGGCAGCGAACTCAAGTACCTGCGCTTCATCACGGGCCGTCACGATCTGCCTTTCTACTACAAGGAGGAAGTGGAGGTGCAGCGGAGTTTTCTGGATGCTTTCCTGAAGGGCGAAGATCGCGCGGGTTGGGCGGACGGCACTGCTCCCAAGGTTGACATGGTCCTCCGCAAGGGCGATGTTGGTTTCAACAACGCCGAAGCCGAGAAGCAGTACCCACGCCGACAGGAGACTGAGTGGCCTATCGCCCGCACCCAGTACACCCGTTACTACCTGACTTCGAAGCAGGAGCTGGTGACGGAAGCTCCCAAGGAGCGACCGGCCAAGATCACGTACCGTGCTCTGGGCAACCTCGACGAGCCACAGCTAGTGCAGTTCACGACGGCACCATTCGAGCAGGAAACGGAAATCACCGGTCACATCGTGGCCCACCTCAACGTATCGATGAGCCCGAAGCCCGGGCGTCCGACGCCCAGAGATATCGACCTGTTCCTGACACTGCGTCATATCTCCCCGGAGGGCAAGGAGGTCTTCTACACCGGCACAGCAGGGGATCCGGTCCCTCTCTGCAAAGGCTGGCAGCGAGTCAGTCTGCGCAAGGTCAACGCGGAGCACCCGCGCAACCGACCCTGGCTGCCCCACCGCGACTATTATTCCACCGATGTGCTGCCGGTGGTCCCGGGCGAGGTGTACGCGGTGGATGTGGAGGTGTGGCCGACCAACGTGGTGGTGGAGAAGGGAGGGAAGATTGTTTTTGAGGTGTCTTCGGGAGATACTCAGGGGTCTGGCCTGTTCCAGCATAATTCCCCTGTCGACCGGTCGGAGGAGAAGTTCCAGGGATTCAACCACATCAACTTCGGGCATGGGGACAACTACGTGACTTTGCCGATTATTCCCCCGAGAGAGTAGATTGCCAGTTTAGAAACACATAGACTTGAGGTGGGGTTGTACATCGACCCAATAAATGATTGAATTGGTTGCTCACACAAACCTGTAACGGTAACTCATGTTTCCCCTCACCCGATGTGGTCCCGAAACGCACCCGAGAGCGTTCCCCGCAGTGTGGCCGGTAACTATACTGATATACTCAGAAATTAATACGTTAGAGAACAAGCAACATAGACACAAACTCACATATAATAGAAATAGTGGCGCCTTCGCTCAGTCGCTATTCACACTTCAACTTCCTCAGACTTGTTTTGAACACAACCAACAGCCAACCGTGCGATTCCATTTACTAGAACCACCATCTTCAACCTCAAAAGAAACCAGAACACAAGCCAAAATGACCACCTCGAACCCCCCAAGCACCGCCCCCAAGAACATCCGCCCCCTCAACCGCTACATTACCACGCACTCCCCAACCACCAACCAAGCGATCTTCTCCACCACCCTGCCCGAAACCATGCCCGTCCAACAGATCAACGACTCCGCGGCGGCCCAGTTCTCCCTCGCCTACACCACCGACACGTTTCCCGTGGACCTGACCGACGAGCGCGACATCCCCGCCTACAGCCACTACCTCACCAACCCGCCGGGCATCACGATCAGCACGGGCACCGTGTGCCGGATCGTGGACATGCCGCCGCACGCGCTGAGCCCCATGCACCGCACCGTCTCGCTGGACTACGGGGTCGTGCTGGAGGGCGAGGTCGAGCTGGTGCTGGACTCCGGGGAGACGAGGCTCCTTAAGCGCGGCGATGTGGCGGTCCAGCGCGGCACCAACCATGCGTGGCGCAATGTCACGCCGGATATTGTCGGGGAGGATGGGGAGAGGGTGGCGTGCTGGGCACGGATGTTGTATGTGCTTGCGCCGGCGAGGGGGGAGGGGTTGGTTGAGGATGTGACCGGGATTGAGATTAGGGGGAGTACTTGATTTTGGATGGGGGGATGTAGGGGAAGGGTTTTGAGCGGGAAAGTTGGTGATATAGTATGTATGGTTGATCTTGTATGTTGAACATAGCAGTTGTGGGAATTGAATCAATGGGCTTTTGTCTAGGGAATGGATTGTTGTGGGTAGTGCAAGCGTGATTGTTAAATGTGTATGGAATCAGGAGCTTCAAGGGAAACACTCTGGATGGGCTGTACATGCACTGCAGTACAAGAGAGCTGGGTGCTTGAATAACAGCATTGACCGAGTCTGGGACAAAGTTATCCGTATGCGTTGTTTTGAACACTGGAGGTTTCTGAAGGCTTTTGCACGTTCCAGGTGAATTCTGGTCTCGAACACCTACATAGCTATTCGCACTAGGCGAGCTCAACTGAACCAGGAGGACTTGAATTAAATGAATTGCATTGCTGCTTTGTGACACAAAAACAGTATAACTCCCAGACTTGACATGCTTGTATTGCATGACCGCATGCCCCCAAACCACTCTACCACTCTCCTCCAATCTCGTAGTGAAAGATCTTGTCGTTGATCTTGCCCCCCGTTGCATGCCAGACTCGTGACACGACCTAAACTCATCAGCTGTGCTCGACATGCTTGGCCGGTAGAATCTGACTTACCGCGTTCAACCAAACACCGTGTAGCATGGTCTGGATGAACACAAATTCGGCTCTGTTCGCGCCCGCCTGTCGCTCACTCAGGTTCAACTCGCGGTTGGCCGGACGGTAAGCAGGTACTCGGCGATGGTCGGTGGGCCAGTTGGCAGGCTGTGCGGGCTGTGTCGTGTTGGACGTTGATTCTAGTGATGAGGAAGGAGTCGCCTCGCCTGAGTGATGCAATTCATAATCCGATAGCACAGATAGAGTGCCAACCCGTGTGGAGGCGGTGGTTGTTGTGGTGGTCGCGGTGGTCGTCGACATGGTGATGATGATTGTGCGGGGTTAACAACGATGGGGGAAACTGATTATGGTGAGATAATTCCAGAATAGCTGGAGTTAGGGTGATATGCTGGATGCTTGCAGCATCAAACCTCGGCAGGCATCGATCGCCCCAGGGCGCATCCATTGCCTCCTCCACATCCCGAGCACCATGCCATCCTTCCCCATATCCCCCAATCTTCCAGCACCTCGACTGCGGCCCATTGATCCGACTGGCCCGTTCATGTCCGCATAGATGAAGGAAGTAGACTAGCTTATCTCCGAAGCTGAGCTCAGTTCGTTCCCCGGATCTTGTTGATGGCTATAATCCTACCCCGTTCTCACAGGACTTTGTGCAAACATTGTCTCTCACATCATCCACGAAAATGGTTGCACCACAGTACTTCCCCCGTATCTTGTCCGCGGAGATAGACGGCCGCACTCAGAACATCCGATACCGTCAGAATCAATTCCACCGATTACAGTCCACCCTCGTCCAGCACGTTGACCAGATCAAGGACGCTCTGCTCACCGACTCGGGCCATGCCGTGGAGGAAGTCCGCGCCGAGATCTGTCTTGCATTGAAGGAGATTCGCACGCACTATGCTTCGCTGGACTTGAGCAGAGACCTTGAGGAAGAGTATAGGGTTGCACATGGAAAGGATAATCGAGATGGCAAGCGTGGCGCGGGCATCGTCTACATCGTCCCGTGCACGCACACCATGTTCTTCTCTATCGTCTCAGCGTTGAGTGCGGCGCTGGCGGCGGGGAACTGCATTATCCTGGAGGTAAGTTTCCAGCATCCTCTGATAAAAGGGAGAGAGACGACTGACCGATGATGAGGGCAGTTGACGAAAAACACTATGGCCCTGCCTGCTCTACTGAAAAAGATCCTCCCGCCCGCGCTGGATGCAGATACCTTCGCCGTCAGCGAAGATAGACCCGACGCGAGCTTTCTGACCCAGGTGGTAGTGCTCAATCAGAACGACGATGCAGGCCAAATCTCCGGCCAAAGTATCTCTTCACCAAACACAGCTCGGACAATCGCCGTAGTCGACCGCACTGCCGACGTGCCGGCGGCGGCGGAGGCGCTGGTCGCGGCGCGGTTGACCTTTGGAGGTCGTTCGCCATACTCGCCCGATGTGGTGCTCGTGCAGGAGTTTGTCATGAAGGAGTTTGTGGAAGCGGTGCTTCAGCGGTCGTCGAAGTACCTGGGCGGCCAGAATGGCGAGGCGCGACAGGTCGTCGCGAACCCTCGTCGCGCGAGTCCAGGGGCCTCGTTGCTCGATGCGGCGCATAAGGACGCTGGTTCGCGCGTTCTCGTTTCTGGATCCGAGTGGGGTGTTGTCGAGGTGCTGGATCGGTATGTCTCTGAGAGAGGGTGGAAATCCGGGCTGCTTGCTAACATTATTCAGGAAATCACCCCTGCTACAGAGAAAGGTCGCGGAGAAAGTGCTGATTTTACACCCGATAACTAGTCTGGATGATGCTATTGACTTTAGTACTTCGTAAGTGGCATCGATTCGATCTGAAGCAGGAAAGTTAACAGAAGCTAACAGAAGCAGACGCGGAACGCTTGCGGCGACATACGCCTTTGCGGCCCCCGCGTCCGCCAAATACATAACCCAATTCATCGACTCTTACATTTCCTGGGTCAACCATGTTCCCAATGATATGCTGAGTATGCTCATCTCGAATATTTGTGCAGCGTAGTACTGATGAATTATAGTTGGACCCGCCTATCCCACCAACCTGACCCCTAGCTCCGACACTCGCTACTCGACACTATCACTTCAGGTGCCTCGGCCGCAGCTCATTACTCCGACAAGCAACGCCGCACTCACCCAGACAGTCCTGAATACCAAGAATAGCCACTGGAACCAGGTGTGGACAGAGAACTTAGCGCCGTTGCCTGCGATCGGCCAACGGGCCGGCAAGAAGATCGGGTTCTTCGAACAAGGCATCATCACGGGCGGAGTGATTCTTCTCTTCTCCCTGGCGGCTACGGTGTCGACGATGGGATTTTACGGCTTTTCAGCTATCAAACGCCTGCGTGCGTAGATAGTTATCTTATCAATTCCAACTCTAGTCTCAATAGATTATTACCAACCGCTTACTCCCTTCCATCCACCCCCAAACTCAAGATGTTGCTTTCTCCCACAGTAAACTAGTGTTGCTTAGGCTGCAACTAAGGCATCATTGGTGGCCATAGGGTGTATACGAGAGAGAGAGCCCGGCTTGCAGTACCATTATGATGATTCCCTTTAGGCTCCTCTGTTTGTTAGTCCAGGAGGTCTACTAGTGGGGATGTCCTGTAGTTAGTCGCCGTCACCGCCAGACAAGCTTGGGTCGGGATGTGCCTCCACATCCCGAAGCGAGGTGTTCAGCGTCAGCCTTTCACACGCCATGGGTCACTGGCCAGCCAGCACCGGTCACTGCTTTGGGTTAAAGAGCTGGGATCGTCGTTGCTTACCTCTTCGTCTGTATCTCGTGCATTCGGAATTTTCTCAGGTGGATTGTCTCGGCTGATGTCGGTTGGTCTGGTTTAGTTCAGATCTACTGTACGTACAGCACAGACAGGTAGAATGAGAGACTGATTTCCCACTGAGTCATGTGTCAATTGATTGCGCAAGTGACCACCTGTGGCCACAACGTCCAAACAGGCTAGAATCTACCTAGCAGAGTATCCATGATGTGTACAGTACGAGCACGAATAGTAAGGAAGCCGAGTTCTACGGAGTAAGCAAGAGTGGGTCGTTTTCCCCGCAAATGCACTTTGACCCGGTCAGTTCCTTTCCCCGGATCCTGAACCACCTAAACATTTTCTGCTCCTCCTCCTCCCCCTGTACGCCCGTCATCTCCTCATCTCCTTCACTCTCCCCTCCACCACATCATCATGTCCAAGTTTCAACAATGTTAGATGAACCTCCTACTGAACTTGCCCCATCTACCTCCGTGCAATCTCCCTCAAGGTCAAGCCAAAAAGCCCGCGATGGCTATTTTCAATGTGGTTTCTGCAAGAAACACTATAACCGTGCAGACCATTTGATCCGCCATGTTCGGTCGCGTAAGTCCGTTTCCATCCGAACTCGCATGACGGAGACCAATTGCTCTGCAGATACCCGAGAGAAGCCCTATGTGTGTCACGTCTGCAACAAAGGCTTCGCTAGACCGTAAGTCGCCCTCTGTCCTCTGGCTGCAAGCTCATGGACTTCGTGAGCTCCCGGTGATTGAGAAGTTCGCCGGCCCAAAGCAGATACAATGGTCCTTTGTTGAGTCATCACTTTACTGACTCCAACTAGGGATCTCATGAAACGTCACGCCGCAGGTCATGATCAACCCCGCGATGGCAAGAGAAAACGGCCGCCAGTCTTCGCCAAGAGTGGCCGTGTCTCCCAAGCCTGTCGAGCATGCGCAACGTCGAAGCTCAAGTGCGACGAGGAGAAGCCTTGTCGACGATGCCGAGACAAGAAGCTGGAGTGCGACTGGCAGGAGACAAATCCCGGCGAGATGTCTCCCGGTTCATCATCGCAAGGTCTGTCGTTGCTCTGCTATGCACTGGATCTGCAGCAGCCAGGCACCCCGGCTGAACTCCCACCAGCGTACGATGAGCCTGACGAGACGGAAACGTGCATCGAAACCCCTCCAACTCAAGGCATCTTTCCCTCCCCAGCGCCCGTCATGAATGAGTTACCGCCACCCATCGACCCTACCGCGCAGTTCGCCACGCCAGATTTCCCGGTCAGCAACTTCCTGCCTCAGGTGCCTCAGGCACCCGGCTCGGCTCCGCTAGAGGATCCACTGACTACCAGCTACGATGGTACCGTGACCCGCCTCGCTTAAGTGGGTGTCAGCTGACGGACTGCCTGCTAGCAATCTCTCCCAGTCTAGACCACGAGAGTGGTATCTTTAGCATCGATGGGACTTTTTTCCCGGAATTTATCCCGGATTCTCTGATCACCTCTCTGTCACGCCCGGATCTGGATCCGTTGTTGAATCACACCCAAGAGTATGCTTATGGGGTCTTCGACCAAAACATACCGTTCAACTTCGATCTCACCGAAATAGACTTTGGACTCATCGAATACTTCAACTCCCAAGGGATCACAAATCATGCGCCCCCCGTTCCTGAGGCACCCAATGACCGGGTGGATGTGGAGAGTGGAATTGCTCTAGGCGCTGAAGCTTATAAGCGTTCCTCGCTGTCCGTGTGGAAGCCTGCGCAGAGCGATAATGCATTTGCACACCAAGGCGACCTTGCTATTCCCAGGACTATCGACAGCCCCGATACAAGTCTTCGATCCGAACGGAGGGTTCTCTCCGAACGACTGTCGGCAGGGAGCCGCGATCTGATTTTTGGAATGGTGCTGCAGGCCAGCCAGAAAGCCAATCCGCTTCGGATCATGAAGTCGTTCCCGAGTACAGAGCTTTTGGACGGACTGATACAGGATTACTTTGCATACCAAAGCCGACAGGTCGATTCCTACATACACGGCCCAACATTCCGAATCAATGAAGAAAGCTCCGACACCCTTACCGCCATCGCCGCCGCGGAAGCAACAAGGTCGACTATTCCAACTATCCGCAAACTGGGCTACGCACTACTGGAGATTGTGCGGCTGCAGATCTCAGATAAGGTATGCTTCTGGCAACAAGAATGTGCCTGAGCTAGATGCTGACCTAGCTAGTACGAAACTGATAACCGGACGACTCGTGATCTGCGAGCCTCTCAAACATTCGCCTTGGTCCTAGATATTGGGCTTTGGAGCGGCAACGGTCGAAGGACAGAGATTGCAGAGAGTTTCCAACAGCCTCTACTAACGGTTTGTTCGCTATATGCTGAGGCGCTGTTCGAAGCTAACACTTTCCAGATGCTCAGAAGAGCCTTAAGACTTCGACGATCTGTGTACACAGTAATCGTACCTAGTCTCGCAGACAGTCCGGAAGAGCTCGAACAAAAGTGGCGGGATTGGGCGGAGCTG